AAAAAAAAAAAAAAGAAATACCATGCAACAAGATGGGCACCAGTGGGTCACACTGGAAATCCTATTTACTCAGAAGGCTGAGATCTGAGGATCACAGTTCAAAGCCAGCCCAGGCAGGAAAGTCCATAAGATTCTTATCTCCAATTAACCACCAGAAAACTGGAAGTGGTGCTGTGGCTCAAGTGGTAGAGCACTAGCCTTGAGCTGAAGAGTTGAGGGACAGTACCCAGGCCCAGAATTCAAGACCCACAACTGACAAAAAAAAGAAAAGAATAATACATGGTGGGGGCACTGGTGGCTCAAATCTGTAATCCTAACCAGGAGACTGAGATCTGAGGATCTGAGTTGAAAAGCCAGCCCAGGCAGGAAAAGTCCATGAGATTCTTATCCCCAATTAGCCACCAGAAAACCTGAAGTGGAACTGTTGCTCAAAGTAGTAGAGCTAGAGCACTAGCCTTGAGCAGAAAAGTTGGGATAGCACCAGGCCCTGCACCAAAGAAAAAAGAGAGAGAGAGAATTGTACAAGTAGAGCACCAGCCTTGCAAGTTTAAGGCAGAGTCCAAACAATAGTACCACCAAAAAAAGCAAGAAGCAAGAAAGGAAGGAAGGGAGGGAGGGAGGGAGGAAATACACAAGTACAAGATCACAATGCCACAAGATCATAACACCACAGACATAAATTGAGAATACAGGGTACTGCTGTGGTTCAAACTACACAGCCCGTGAGTTCAAACTACCATATACATGAGTCATAGATACATAAGTATCATATATACATATACACACATATATACATATGTACACACACACACATAGTATCATTTTTTGTTATCAAAGGCAGTTACTGGCACCTAGCAAGAGTGAATAATTTTGAAATACATTTTGAAAAAGAACGAACAAGATCAAAATAGATTGTTTGCAAGTATAAAAACTGAAAGCTTGCTGAAATTGTTTTGGAAAGTGGAGAAGTGTGAGTTTGAAGGGGAAAGACTGATGGAACATATTGTAAACATGTATGGGAATGTAACAATGAAATCCCCCTCTTTAATGAAAGCTAATAGAAAATTATAAAAACAAGTGGCACTGATCAAGATGCCATTCATAAACTGACATGTTGAATTGAAACTCTTTGTAAAACTACTTAAAGGTAATTTTTAGTTGTTTGTTTGTTTGTTTATTTATTGTCAGTCGTGGGGCTTGAATTCGGCCTGGGCATTGTCCCTCAGCTCTTCAACTCAAGGCTAGCACTCTACCACTTGAGCCACAGCGCCACTTCCCTTTTTCTGGTATTTTACCCAGGCTGACTTTGAACCATGATCCTCAGATCTTAGCCTTCTTAGTAGCTAGGATTACAGGTGCCCAGCTAAAAAAATTTTTTTAAAGATAGTCCCCAAGGGCTGGGAATATGGTTTAGTGGTAGAGTGCTTGCCTAGCATTCATGAGGCCCTGCGTTTGATTCCTCAGCACCACATAAACAGAAAAAAGCCAGAAGTGGCACTCTGGCGCAAGTGGAAGGGCGCTAGCCTTGAGCTGAAGAGCTGAGGGACAGTGCCCAAGCCCAGAGTTCAGGCCCCATGACCAAAAAAAAAAAAAAGAGAAAAAAAATAAAGCCATATATTGGGCTAAGAAGGTGGCTCAGTGGTAGAGTGCTTGCCTTGCATGCCTGAGGCCCTGGGTTCGATTCCTCAGCACCACATAAGCAAAAAGAAAAAAGCTGGAAGTGGCGCTATGGCTCAAGTGGTAGAGCGCTAGCCTTGAGCTGAAGAGCTGAGGGACAGCGCCCAGGCCCAGAGTTCAGGCCCCACGACCGGACCCCAAAAAATAAAAATAAAAAAATAAAGTCATATAATGAATAATACTCTGAGAACAGAGATTCAAAGTCATGGCTATACTTCAATTATCAAGCATTCAGATTCAAATTCAAAGACACAAATTCAAGACATTGTGCTCAGAGCTACCTTACCATAAATTAATGTGAAGCTCCTACTGTCAAAGCAAGCTCAAATGCTTCCAGAATAAAAGAGCAATTTTTTAAAACTTCTGGTATAAGCAGAGTATCTCTAGCTTTGGACTACATAGCAATACCTTGTTTCACCAAAAAAAAAAACCAAAACACTGGTTTTTGAAGCTTGGGTGTGGTTCCTTATTTGTCAGCCTGTACCCCCTCCACCCACAATGAAAACCACATGTACCCTAAGTGTGTTTGGTGAAGAAAAACTTAAAACCGTACAAAAAAAAAAGAAGTCTAAGTGAGAGCTGGGTACTCTTCCCCTGTCTGAAGATTTCTGGATGTTCTTCATATATATGCAGTTACATTTTAACAACTGAAACTATTAACAGAAAAATATGAGAGTACTTAAATATGAAGCAAACAATACCTTCAATATAATGAACAATTAGTCTTAAATTCAACAAGTTAAGATTTTCAGTTGTAGCTGTTGCCAGTGGCTCACACCTGTAATCCTAGCCACTCAAAAGGCTGAGATTAGGGCTGGGAAGGTGGCTCAGTGGTAGAGTGCTTGCCTTGCATGCATGAGGCCCTGGGTTCGACTCCTCATCACCACATAAGCAAAAAGAAAGGCGCTGTGGCTCAAGTGGTAGAGTGCTAGCCTTGAGCTGAAGAGCTGAGGGACAGTGCCCAGGCCCAGAGTTCAGGCCCCAAGGGCAAAAAAAAAAAAAAAAGATGCTTATATAAGCCAGGCACTGGTGGCTCATGCCTGTAGTTCTAGCTTCTCAAGAGGCTGAGATCTGAGGACCACAGTTCAAAGCCAGCCTGGGCAGGAAAGTCCATGAAACTCTTATCTCCAATAAACCACTAGAAACTTGAAGTGGCACTGTAGCTCAAGTGGTAGAAAACTAGCCTTGAGCTAAAGAACTGAGGAACAGCGCTCGGGCCCAGAGTTCAAGCCCCACAACCAACAACAACAATAACAAAAAAAAGATGCTCATATATTAGGGTCAACAAATTCTTCAGCAGAATGATTCTCATCTTACAAGATCTATGTCTAATGTAATAGTAAAGCAGGGATGTCCTTCCTTTTAACTTTTCTTCAAATCCTCTCCTCCTCTACTTCCTCCATTGAGAAAAGGTTTAGTCTAACTCTAATAACCTTTAATCAGGAGACAATTAACATTGCCTAATAGCAATTCAAAGGTTTCCTGGGTCAACCAAGTGCTTTTTACCACAGGGCTTTCCCTTATGCTTTCTGTAAGTCAACACAGGTCACTGGAGGTCTTGTTAAATTTGTTTCATTCTCCTTCAACTCTGTTAGGCAATTATAATAGATAGTTGAGAAGTTCTTCAAAGTTTAAATAGATTAAGAAAAGGATATGATCCTAATAAAAGCCAGGGATGAGACCTTCAAACTTAAAAGGAGGTCAAGGAAAACCACAGTTTAATTCAGTCTAGATAGTTAGGCTGGGTTCACTAAGTTTACAAAGGAACTGTTATCTCTATAAATAACTTTGCTGTCACCAATACTTTATTCCTTTGTGACCAACAACCCATTACCTCTCATCTGGACACTTCAACTTGAGATGAAATTGTTCCTCAAGAGGGCTGGGAAGGTGGCTCAGTCGTACAGCGCTTGCCTTGCATGCATGAGGCACTGGGTTCGATTCCTCAGCACCACATAAGCAGGGGAAAAAAAAGTCGGAAGTGGTGCTATGGCTCAAGTGGTAGCACAGTAGCCTTGAGCTAAAGAGCTGAAGGATAGCACCCAGGCCCTGAGTTCAGGCCCCATGACCGGACCCAAAAAAAAAAATGTTTCTCAAGAATCACAAGTCTAAGCCAGAAGTAGTGCTGTGCTCAATGCTGAAGTACTAGCCTTGAGTGGAAAAGCTGAGGGACAGCACCCAGGCCCAGAGTTCAGGCCCCACAACCAACAAAAATAATAAGAATAAAAATTACATGGGGCTGGGAAGTTGGCTCAGTGGTAGAGTGCTTGCCTCTCATGCAAGAGGCCCTGTAATCCTAGTTACTCAGGAGGCTGAGATCTGAAGATCATGGTTCTAAGCCAGCCTGGGCAGGAAAGTCCATGAGACTCTTATCTCCAATAAACCACTAGAAAACCTTTAGTAGCGCA